GGCCCAAAATGTCTCATCACTGCGGGTCCAAATCTAACTGTCCAGTGGCCCCTGGAGGATAGCGGCCACCAGGCCGCCAGGGGGAAGAGGCCAAGGCACAAAACCTATTCCCACCTGAGTTAGCCCAGCACCGGTAACCTACTGCAGGGATTGGACGCATTTCTGCCAAAAGCCGCTGGGTTTCGAGATTTTTTTTCTGAGTCTCTGGGATCATGGCCGTTAAGCAGTTCAATCAGGAACCAGAGAGGCCATGCCTCCAATTATATAGCTGAGCCAGAGGTGGTTTGTGGGTGTGTCTCCCACATACCAACTTTTGGCCATTTCCTTTCTTGGTAAACTTTGCCCTAAGTTTTTGGGATTTGGCCAAAGGCACAGCAGCAATTTGGGGGTATCTGGAAGTCTGAAGGCACCATCAGGCTGCTGATGCACTCGCCTCACAGGTATAGATTGACCTGCTGGCGGCACCATACCCCCCTTTTTTATTTTTTTGCAACATAAAATCTACTATGTAAAATTAGCAAGGTTCCAAGCATGGAATTTTTCATCTGATAGTCACTCCTAATTTTTCTCACTTTAATTCTACATCTGTGTGTTATCACTTAACTCTGATGCCTCTCTCTGGTACCTCTGGAGTTCTTTCTGCAGTGGTAGCACCTATAGAGTTCATAATCAATGTTATCAATGAAAACACATTATTTCTTTGTCTTTTCTGAACATCTCAAATGTTCCTGTCACAGAAATTCAAGATAAATATATAGGTAAGTAGGCAAAAGGAGTTGGCCATTGATATTGTATTGGCCTTTTAAGAATATTTGGGATTACTGGCCAGAGAGAGAGCTCAAGGGGTAAAGTGCTGTGCTTGTTTTGCATGTGGTCCACCCTGGTTTAATCTCTGAAACCAAATATGGTTCCTCAAGGACAGCCAGGTGTAATTTCTGAGCACAAAAACCAAGAATATACCCTGACCACCACAGGAATGACCCTACTCCACCTGTCCAAAAATAGGTTATAGATAAGAATTCAGCAAACTGTGGTCTGTGACCTAAATGTGAGATGTATGTGTACATAAAATAAATATATAAAATGTGTATATAAAATCAGAACAGAGGAATGCTATTTCATTCACATATTTTCTAGCTACACCATTTTGCACCCTATTGCTTCCAGAGCATTAATGAATATAACCACAGAGGTTTCCTGAACACCACAGAAAGAACCTTGGAGGTCTCTGAGCACTAGTATGGCTGCCCGGGCTAGTCCATGGTGATCCCTAGTACTTCAGGGTCCAAGCAGCACTGCAATCTCTGGCCCTTGTATTCAACCTTCTAGCCTGGTTGGCCAAACATTAGAGCAAAGTAGCTTTGGACCCCTTGAGCAATGCTTAGAAACCCCAACCCCCGTCCCCCAAAATTCCTAGATATTTTAATATATTTACTATATTTATCTTTAAATTTTGGCAAATTTAAAATTTTCTCTGCCTTGTTCTCCAAAGAAAAAGAACAAGGCAGAGTCTCCTGGCCCTGCGCCTGACTGTCCTCACTGGGGCCCCTTGGAAGAGGGTGGGTTGAGTTTCCCTCTCCGCCCTGAGCAGAACCCCGACAGCTGAAGACCTCCGGAACCCAGCCAAAGCCATGCTGAGACCACTCTCCACACGCTTGGACGAGGAACCGGCAGAGGAACCCAGATGTGTGGGACCCGGGGCTGAGATCTCCAAGCCTGCTCGGTTTGGGACTGGGCCTCCGCCACCCAGCTCCCCCACCTTCCAGTAGCTAGACAGTTACACCCACCAACTGCCATGTAACCCCATCAACGGCCAGGATCCAGAGACCAAGCTCCTGGAAGAGAACAAGGCAGAGTCTCCTGCCCCCAAGCAGAACCCTGACAGCTGAAGACCCAGCCAAAGCCATGCTGAGACCACTCTCCACACGCTTGGATAGGCACTGGCAAAGGAACCCAGGTGTGCGGGACCCGGGGCTGAGATCTCCAAGCCTGCTCGGTTTGGGACTGGGCCTCTGCCACCCAGCTCCCCCACCTTCCAGTAGCTAGACAGTTACACCTACCAACTGCCGTGTAACCCCATCAACAGCCAGGACACAGAGACTCTAAAACCAAACTCCCAGAAGCATGACCTCTTATTCTCTAGTTCTCACTCTCAGAGAACCTGGCAGGCTACTGGGAGTATCATACCCGTCTATATGCCTGACTAGGAACACCTGTAAAGGTGATTAGAGGCTGCCCCAAAAGCTTTCATCCCTCTTAGAGAGCCTGGCAAGCTACCAAGAGTATCCCGCCCACACAGCAGAGCCTGACAAGCTACCTGTGGCGTACTCGATATGTCAAAAAGAGTAACAATGAATGGTCCTCATTCCCCTGACGACCCTGAAGGAGCCCCCAATATGTCATAGGGCTACACTACACGTGACAGGGACGAAGGAGACATTACTGGGCCCGCTCGAGCACATCAATGAACAACGGGGTGATAGTGATAGTGATAGTTTAAAATTTCATGAAATGCATTTCTTAAAGTGCTTGAAATTTGGCATTAGGAAGACATCATTTTAAATTTAGCATTAGGAAGACATCATCTGATAAAAGGAAAAAGCCCAAGGAAAATACAATACTTCAGTATTAATGGAGTCAGATGTTTATAACAAATTTTAGCCTAGGGAAGAAATGAGCTTTCTATTTTGGGTAAAATACTTTATATGTTTTATTTTAAAAAATTGGAGGGGGGATGCTGAGGCGATAGCACAGCAGGTAGGGCGTTTGCCTTGCAAGCAGCTGACCTGGGTTCAATTCCCAGCATCCCATATGGTCCCCCGAGCACCACCAGGAGTAATTTCTGAGTGCTTGAGCCAGGAGTAACCCCTGTGCATCACCGGATGAGACCCAAAAAGCAAAAAACAAATTATTTTTTAATTTTTTATTTTAGTGAATCACTGATGCCTTCTGGGGCTTGGAGTTCCCTTGGATGCATTCCTGAGGCTTGCGAGCCCCCCCTTTTGGCCAGGCGCTCCGAGGGAGCCTTAGCCAGGGAGCTTCTTTTCTTAAATACAAAGCTAAATCACCAACCAGGTACAACCCAGACTGTCCGTATCATATTGACACAGCCTATTGGGCCCTCCTGATATTCATTGCCCAGGCAAGTGTGGATGGGGAAAGACCTTAGATAGCACCATAGAGACAAGGGCGGGTTGTGGTCACCAGGCTGAGGAGGGCACCCAGACCTGTCTCCGTTCACAATGGCCCAGGCGCAGAGGACCAAGAGGACCTAGGACAAGGCGTGGTGGGAGGGTCACAGTGCAAGTGAGAACTGCACCTTAGTCTGTATCCATGCCCCTGCAACCCACATCCCCTGTCTTCTGGGCCTTTCCTGGAGGCTGTGCCCCCCTGAGTGCACGGCATTCTCCTGGCAGGAAAGATGGCAGGTGGGTAGGGCAGAGCCTAGACCTGAGGTTGGTCACCTTCAACCAACCCAGAGGAGAAGGGACGACAGTTGGAGAAGGTAAGTAATTTCTGGTCCCACTACAAAACCTTACTTTTGAGTAGAGTGCCATCCACATCTCTCCTGCAAAAAACAAAACAAAACACAACTGTTTCACTGGCTTCATGTCTTAGACACATGTAAATTGTTTTCTTGGGGCTTTTTTTCCTTAAAAAGTTTTTAAAGGGCTGGAGAGATAGCACAGCAGGTAGGGAGTTTGCCTTGCACGCGGCAGACCCAGGTTCAATTCCCAGCATCCCATAGGGTCCCCTGAGCACCACCAGGAGTAACTCCTGAGTGCAGAGCCAGGAGTAACCCCTGTGCATCGCCGGGTGTGACACAAAAAGCAAAAAAAAGGTTTTTTTAGGAGCTGGAGCTATAGTAGGGCGTTTGCCTTGCACGTGGCCGACCTGGGTTTGATTCCCAGCATCACATATGGTCCCCCGAGCACTGCCAGGAGTATTTCCTGAGTCCAAAGCCAGGAGTAACCCCTGTGCATCGCCACGTGTGACCCAAAAAGCAAAAGAAAAAAGTTTTTTAATTACTTTTCTAAAATAAATTCCGTGTTCACATTTCTATAAAGAACTGTTTCCCAGTTTGGGGAAAGCCTGTCTCCTCCCTGTGATTCCCTGCCCTGAAGCTTGGACTACCCTGGGAGTTGAGGCCATGAAAGAGGGCCTCTGTGGGCTGGTCCTGGTCATGGTCTCTAGTTAGCAAGCTTTCTAGAAAGCAGGGGACGAACTGCACACCTGTTTAAAAACAAGACTCATACACTTAATTGTCAACCTTGTAGATAACTAAAGGAAATAAGAGCTTGAAAGCATCCCATCCAGGACTTGGGAGGGGGTGTCCAGTGCCCCGAGGTTAGGGAGTGGAGACCCAGCCCACCCCTGTAGCAGTCAGCTGAGGCCCCACTGCCTACCTCAGATCAGACTCCTTAAAACCTGCCTGTGTCTTGGAGTGCTTGCACCAGAAGCACAAACTTTCAACTTTCATGCAAAAAAGATACAAAAGTAACTAGGACTGGGGGCTGGAGCTATAGCACAGCCAGTAGGGCTTTACCTTGCTGGAGGCTGACCCAGGCTCTATTCCCAGCATCCCATATGGTCCCCCCCAGCACTGCCAGGAGTAATTTCTGAGTGCATGAACCAGGAATAACCCCGTGGGGGGGGCGTGGAAGGAGGAAAACTGGGGACATTAGCTGTGGGAAATGTACACTGGTGAAGGGACGGGTGCTGGAACATTGTAAGCCTGAAACCCAATCATGGACAACTTTGTCATTGTTTCTATCATGGTGATTTAATAAAACATTTTTTTTTAAGTTTTGGTGATGTAAGGCCATCTGTTCCAGTCCACCTCAGGAACCTGCAATAGATATTTAAATATTACAGAGAAAAGACATCTTAATATACTTTTTGAAAACATCTAAAGAATCTGCTAAGCAAGTTACTTTTTTAACACACCTATGTGTAAAAAAAATCGATTCCCTTTGAGGGGAACTTTGTCCATGGCCAGGTCAATGTTTCAGCCAGGGGTGTGCCTCCAGGGACTCGCGACTGCGGTCCCCATAGTCATACAGCAGCTCCTCCCCGGCCTGGATGTCGCGGGAGGCGATGAGGATGAGGTGCGGGACACCGGCGACGTCGTGCAGTTTGGTCTGGCAGTTTCCCCGTTTGCTATGGTTGATGAGCCGCCCCAGACGGTTGGTCTCCCGGGTGGCGTCGATGCAGTAGGTCTTGCTCAGATACTGGAAGTAGTACATGTAGCAGCCAGTGGAGGGGTCTTTGGCGTACCGAGCCTCCCGTTTCTTGGCATCTGTGATCTCGATGAGGTCCCCGTGGTATTCTACTATGAACTGGCCCCGGGAGAACTGCTTGGTGGCGATCACCCCCCTGCCCTTGCCGTCGATGAGGCCTATCTTCATTCCTTCTTCCTTCCCGCTTGCAATGAGCTCGTCTATTCTCCTTCGTTGCTCAGACTGGAGCTCGGCCTTGCTCTTCCGGGAGCTCCTCCGCACAGGGTAGGAGTCGGTGAGCTTGCGGTTCTGCTGCGGTTTCCCTCGACATCTCCCCCGACGGACCTGTTGGCCCTTGATGGGCTTCTTCGGTCCCGGCTTGGCGACCGCTGCTTTGCGGGGGTGACAAGATGAGGTCCGAGATTTGGGAGGCTCTGCTGCTTGAGATTTTGGCTTTGGAAGACGGGCCAGGCGGCCTCTCCTGGGGCCTCTGCGCTTGGGTTTGTCCGACTTCAAGGTGCTTGGCTCTCTCGTCGACTTTCTCTTCTCTTCTGGCTTACTGTAGCTCCTCGTGAATGGCCTCCCCCGGCATCTGACACTGAGATACACCCCGGAGGCGTCTCCCCGAAGTGGGGGACGCATTCTAGAGCATCTTTTCGATCTCCTAGGGGAGTAGATCTTCGATTTCCCGGCCAATACCTTCTCCGGCAGCCCGGCCAGGCCCATGGCGTCTCGGCCAGGGCCCTGGCCCGGGCGGCGACCCCTCCGGCCCCGCCGCCGCCCCTGCCGATGCTGCTGCTGCCGTTGCTGTTGCTGCTGCTGCTGCCGTTGCTGTTGCTGCTGCTGCTGCCGTTGCTGCTGCTGTTGCCGCCGAAGACAGCGCTGTCGCGGCGACCCGGGGAAGGGCCGCAGGCGCCCCTTGGCACCTCTTTTCCCCATGGCTTCGTCGCTGGGCCTGACCCCCACGTGCCCCGCTGCCGCCGCCGCTGCCGCCGCCGCTGCCGCCTTGGCCGGCCAGGGACCAAGCACACGCGAGACAGACACAGGCCACACGCGAGCCACACGCGAGGCACACACAGGCGGCGCGGCACGCAGATCTCGCTCCTTGGGGGTATTTCACGGCAGGTTTTGAACAGGTCGCTAAGACCTAGGTGTCGAGATCGATATTCTTACCCGGTGGTCAACATCTGAGTACTCAGTCCCCCAGGATGGAGAATCACCTAAGTCACACTTTCCGGCCTCCGAGGGTGATGGATCCACCCATCTATACACCGGGCTGTGATGAATTTACCGGAGTGTGGTGAATTCAGCTTGGGATGCCACGGGCGGTGATGGCTGTGGGAGGAGAGAGAAGGACCTGAAAAGGGCCCTTTCAAAGAGTTTGTAATTTTGGTGAATGTGCTTCACATCCCAATAAGCTTTTATTGATCTTATATTACCCCGGGGCTAAAGAAGTTCCCAGGAGGACCTTAGGGGCTCAGGGAATACTGACCGACCAAACTCTTAAAAGCTAGTTGGTTTTCTGATTTTTTTCTTTTTTATTTTTGGGTCATACCCAGCGATGCACAGGGGTTACTCCTGGCTCTGCACTCAGGAAACACTCCTGGCAGTGCTTGGGGAACCATATGGGATGCTGGGAATCAAACCCTGGTCAGCCGCGTGCAAGGCAAAGGCTCTACTCGCTGTACTATCGCTCCAGCCCTTAAAAGTTAGTTGGAATGAGCTGAGGGGGGGAAATATGCCTTTCTAGCAAGGAATACACATCCAATAATAGATTTTTGTTGATGAAGGGTGTCCCATATTGGTCTCAGGGGCTCATACCCAAGTCAGGAGATTTGGCAATGCTCTTTGGAAGCAAAGCCAGAGGCAGAACCTGTCACCATTTTTGAGATATTTCCTTACTGAGCTTCCTGATTGCGTTTTCAGTATCTTATTTACTCTTCCCACTTTGCCGGATGATTGAGGTCTATAGTCATAGAGTAAGTAATGCTTAATTCCCAGAGTTTGGCCCACCTGCTGACTTAGCTCTGTAGTGAAATAGGGACCATTACCACTTTGTATGTTATGAGGTAGCCTACATCTGAGAATTCTTTCCTGGAGAAGTGCCTTAGTCACTTCATGTCCCTTCTCTGTCCTGGTAGGGAATGCCTCTATCCATCTGGTAAAGGTATCCACCAGGATTAGCAAGTATTTAAATCCACATTATGAGGGTAATTGAGTGAAATCTACCTGCCAGTCCTCTCTGGGATGTGAGCCATGCCTTGGTGTACAATTAAATTGGGAAGCTGAGCTCTGCATGGGTTGTTCTAAGCACAGATTTCACAACTCTGGCACACCTATCCCACAACCTTAAATAATCGCTTCCTAGTAAAGATGGAACAAACAAAACAGATGCAGAGTTTGTCCCTGTCTAAATGACAGGAGTCAGATAGGCCCTTGACACCTTCCACAAGAGAAATTGGTGCCAATGCCACATTTCCTTTCCAGAACTAGTTCTCTGTCATCATACCCTCTTATTAATGCCCAAGATAGCTCTTCCTCTGTAGAGGAGGGGCAGCTGTTTCCAAGGTCTGGTTGAGGGACCAAGGCCAAGGCTGTGCTAACTGACTGTCTTTCTGGCTGCTGTTTTGGTTTCCTGATCTGCCCTTTTATTTCCTAATGCCACTTGACAGTTGTCTCATTAATGACCCCTGCAATGCATAACTGCAACTCCTGTAGGCAGATGCACAGCATTAAGTAGTTTAAATATCTAAGCACCTTACTTTGTAGGGCTTTCCTCTGCAGTAAAAATCCCCTTTTCAGGTCTGGAATGATAATACAGGAGACACACAACTTGGATTCTATCCCTGGTAAAACTGAGTTCAGAGCCAAGAGTAAGCCCCGAGCACCATCAGGTGTGGCCCTAAAACAAAATTTTGACCAAAAAAAAACAACAACTTTCCTTCCAATGGGCAGCTTGGTCATGCAATACCAAAATGGCATACATGGAGTCTGTGTAAACATTGACTAACTTACCTTCACTGACCTCCAAGGCAGATAAGTCAGAGCTATGAGATCAGCTAATTGAGTCAAATATCCTGGGACAAAGTATCACTCCACCACTTCAGGGGTGGTAACTACTGCATATCAGGACTTATGGATGTCTTTTTCTATGAAGGAGCTGCCATCTGTAAATAGAACGAGGTTTGGGTTTTCCAATGGACTATGGAACAGATCAGGTCTACTGCAGATGTCTGCTCCAGGATTCAGAACTGAAAGTGCTCTACCTGTGTGGAGCGTCTTGGCATAGACAATAAAAGTTACTGGGTTTAAGGTTTCTCTAAAAGAAAATAGTGTGATACCGAAGGACTGGGCTGCCAGTCATCCAAAGGTTGCCCTTGTTTTCAGGAGTGGCATTATTTGATGAAGGGTATAGATGACTAAGGAGGTCCCTCCCAAAATTAATTTATAGACCTCCTATGCCAACAAAGCCATGACAACTACTGCTCTCAGGCAGCTAGGCCATTCTGCTATGACCAGATCTAGTGTTTTACTACAGCAACCCACCAGTAGCTTCTCTGTGCCTAAGAACTAAGTTAAGACTCCCATAGCTGTGCCTAAACTTTCAGAAACACACAGCTGGAAGGGCTTAAAAGGTCTTGACAAAGCTAGAGGCCTGACTTGTGTTTCAGGCCTGAAAGGCAGTCTCGTGTTCTGTCCCCCAAAGAGTTGTATGTTGTCCAGAGTTGTATGTTGTCCACATCCCTCCAACTTTCATCAGGGGTAGGATGATTGGCCATATTTCATAATTCATAATTGATAATATTCCATTAGTCCCAGAAAGGCTTGGAGTTGCCTCTTGGTTGTGGATGTGGGAATGTCAAGTATAGTCTGAATTCTCTTTTGTCTTAAAGTCCTGGTTTCTGGAGTTAAAATTATTCCCAGGTACTTAACGTTTTTAATTGAGCTGAACCTTACTCCTAATAACCTCACATGTCCTAAATGTAAGAAAATTAAGGGTCTTAACTGTATTTTCTTGTGACTCCTATTCATAGGGGAGCAGATCAACAGATCGTCCACATAGTAAAAGATTTTTCTCACTGTCTAGATGAGATGTGTGGGCTGCTCCCACTCAAAGACAAACAGGTATTGGGAGTCTTCTGCTACAGACATGCAGAAGAAAACATCGTTTAGGTTTAACACTGTAAACCAGTGGTTGACAGAGCAGGTTGTATAAGGGGTTAGAGGACATAGCAATAGTACAGTGGGTAGAACACCTGATTATCACATGACTGACCAGGATTGATACCTGACACCACTATCTGATAGGTTGCATCCTTAAAGATCATCAAAGTGTGGTTTAGTGAGACTTTGGAAGACCAAGCATATTCATATTATCATATGTGGGCACATAAGTTGATGCCATCTTCTGCTATGCAAATAAGGTTTGATATTAACCAATCAAATGACACATACCCATATATGGTTATGTGAGATAATGCTATATGCCGTTATGCAAAGAACATTTGGAGGACGACCAATCAGATCATTCATGCCCTTATATGGGTATATAAGGGTGATGAACTCCATCTTTATGCAAACAAGGTCTAAAGAATGACCAATGAGATTATTCATGCCCATACATGGACATGAAAGACGTTGTCACTTTCCCTTAAGCAAGTAGGGCCTGGAAAATAACCAATCAAATCATACATGCCCTTACATGTATTTAAATTGGTGTATTCTGCATTTATGAAAATAAGGTCTGGATGGGGGCTGGAGTGATAGCACAGCGGATAGGGTGTTTGCCTTTCACGTGGCAGACCCAGGTTCGATTCCCAGCATCCCATATGGTCTCCTGAGCAGGAGTGATTCCTGAGTGCAAAGCCAGGAGTAACTCCCGAGCATCGCCAGGTGTGACCTGAAAAGAAAAAAAAAGAAAGAAAAGAAAAGAAGGTCTGGAGAAGGACCAATAATATCATACATGTCTCATATGGGAATGTGTGATGATATTCATCTGTTCTTGTGTAAGTAAGGTTTCTGGAGAATGACCAATCATTCCACATGTACCATTTAAATTATGTACCATGTAAATTGATGTCCTCTGCCCATTGGCAAATGGTTTGGTGGACAACTAATAAGATGCTCTTATATTACACAAGCTCTTACTGGTCTCTAATGTGATGTCACCTGACCTTGTGCAAATAAAATCTAGAGAATGAACAAAGGGATCATATATATAGAGTGTATAATATGATCCATCAGAGGTCTGGTCCTTTTCTCTTCTTCTGGTCCCTCCCTGTCACTTCCTTAGTAATATATGGATCATATTCCCTGACATATCTGGCAAGGAAAATTCAAAACACTGAAGAATGGCATGAAGAACATTACACTGAGACAACATAAATACCAAAAAGGTAGAGAAAAGGTTCCAGTTGAAGCGAATTCACTTAATCTCAACAAGGATTAATTGAGTATTTTATCTATACTAGCAGCCAAAAGGTGGATAATCTAGGAACGAACAGAGTATTTGATCTATTTCTGTCATTGGTGCTACCAACCTTGAAATAACAGCATCAACTCTCACTCCACCTTCTTTATCAACCACCATTTAGCCAATCAATCATCTGTCTCTTCCTTTTCATCAATTTCCAGTACTACCGGACTGCAATCCATCAATTCAGTCAACTAATAATCCTTTGAATCTGTGATTTATATATGAAAATATAAATTGTGAAATCTTTTAG